TGCGAGGCTCCAGTGCTTGCACTCCCGGAAGGGATGGAGGACTTTGTGGTATATTGTGATGCCTCTATATCGGGTTTGGGGGCGGTACTTATGCAGAGGGGTCATGTGATAGCGTACGCTTCGAGGCAGTTGAAGCCTCATGAGTCGAGATATCCCACGCACGACCTGGAATTGGGGGCGGTGGTGTTTGCCCTCAAAATCTGGCGACACTATTTGTACGGGGTTCGGTGTACGATTTACACGGACCATAAGAGCTTGAAATACTTGATGGATCAGCCAAATCTGAATATGCGTCAGAGGAGGTGGTTGGATGTGGTGAAGGATTACGATTGTGAGATCCTGTACCACCCGGGCAAGGCTAATGTGGTAGCCGACGCATTGAGCCGTAGGGCGGATAGCGCCCCGATCCGAGACATTTGTATGAGGTTGACGGTTTTGACCCCGATTCTGGACATTATTCGAGGGGCTCAGATGGAGGCTGCAAAGCCGGAACACCAGAAGAAGGAACGGGTGGTAGGTCAGGTATCAGGATTTGTTACGGATGGTCGGGGGCTTATGACTTTTCAGGGGCGGATTTGGGTGCCGTTTGTGGGCGGTGCGCGCACTATTTTGATGGAGGAAGCACATCGATCGAAATTCTCGATTCACCCTGGTGCTACGAAAATGTATTTGGATCTCAAGAAGGAGTACTGGTGGCCATGTATGAAAAGGGATGTCGCTTGGTTCGTCGAGAGGTGCTTGACTTGTCGGCAGGTCAAGGCCGAACACCAGCGACCGCACGGTAAGCTGCAACCGCTAGAGATTCCCGAATGGAAGTGGGAACAAATCTCTATGGATTTCATTACCAAGTTACCGCGAACGGCGAGAGGAGTCGATGCGATTTGGGTAATTGTGGATCGACTAACAAAGAGCGCTCATTTTCTAGCTATTAGTGAGAGCTCTTCTGCGGAGAAGTTGGCTGAGTTATATGTGAGGGAAGTAGTATCTCGGCACGGGGTGCCAATCTCGATTATTTCGGACCGCGACGTGCGTTTCACTTCCAGGTTCTGGAAGAAATTCCATGAAGAGTTGGGTACTAGGTTACATTTCAGTACGGCATATCATCCTCAGACAGACGGCCAGAGTGAGCGGACCATTCAGACACTCGAGGACATGCTTCGGGCATGTGTGTTGGATTTCGGAGGGTGCTGGGATACCTATCTACCTTTAGCAGAGTTCTCGTATAACAACAGCCATCATTCGAGCATTGGTATGCCGCCCTTTGAGCTGTTGTATGGGCGGAGGTGTCGCACCCCCATCTGTTGGGGTGAGGTGGGACAGCAGGTTATGGGTAGCACGGAGATCGTGCTTCAGACGACCGAGCAAATTCAGATGGTCAGGCAAAGGTTGCTGACCGCTCAGAGCCGGCAGAAGAGTTATGCAGACAGGCGACGGTCCGAGCTTGAGTTCCAGGTTGGTGATCTCGTGCTCCTGAAGGTCTCTCCTTGGAAAGGAGTGATTCGATTCAGGAAGAGGGGCAAGTTGGGGCCCCGGTATATTGGTCCTTTTCGTGTGATCGCAAGGGTGGGTCGGGTAGCCTACCGTTTAGACTTGCCAGCAGAGTTGGGACAGATTCACGATACTTTCCATGTGTCGCAACTGCGGAAATGTATAGCCGACGAATCAGCGGTGGTTCCATTAGGGGATATTCAGGTGGATGCAAGTCTGAATTATGCTGAAAGACCTGTAGCCATCAAAGATCGGAAGATCAAGGTTTTGAGAAACAAGGAGGTGCCCCTGGTATTGGTTCAGTGGCAGCATCGGAAGGGATCAGAGATGACCTGGGAGCCGGAACGGGAGATGCGGGAGCAGCATCCGGAGCTTTTTGCCTAAGCGGGACTTCGAGGGCGAAGTCTTATTCTAGTGGGGGAGATTTGTAACAGCCCGGATCCCCAGGTATCTTCATTTCTTTTATATTTTGACATTCTGTGAGGGGACTCGGCGAGTCGGTGGTTGAACTCGCCGAGTCGGGTCGCGGTTTTTAGCAGGGGTTCGCGTCCGGACTCGGCGAGTCCAAGGGATGGACTCGACGAGTCCGCACTGTTTAATGAAACCCTAATTTCCCGGTCCTAAGCTCTATTTAAAGGACCTTATGGCCCTCATATGCGGCCACCTTGAACCCTAAGAGCCTCCATACGTCTGTAAGCCCTTGTGTGTGTGTTTGAAGGCCTTTTGTTCTTCATTTTGTGTGTTAGTGCAAGGAAAGGAGGGAGAGGAGCAAGCTTGAAGTGTTGGGGAGCTTAGATCTGTTGCTATTTCATCAAGGGGGGGGGTCTTCTTGAGGTAACTTTCTGAGCCAATCTCGTGTTTTGTGTTGATGGGCCAAATCTAGGGTTTCTTCTTGCATTTCTTGGCTTGAATAAGATGTATGAGAGGTCCCATGGGGATATGGGACCTAGATCTGGACTTTAGCAGGTCCAGGAGACCCCTTATGACAAGCTTTATGCCCATCCTTTTGAGTTAGAAGTTAAACTTGCCATATTAAAGGTTGTTTCTTCAAAATAAGCCTTGTATGCATTGCATGGCAACCAAGACTGAGACTTTACGTGACAAATAAGCTTGGGAAGGCCAGATCTATGTATTTATGGAACGGATCTGACCGCAAAAGCCAGTTTTAGCTGGTGCATGGCATGGACTCGCCGAGTCTGAAGAACAGACTCGACGAGTCACTTGAAGATTGTCTTTGAGACCATCTTGTGAGTAGACTGGACCGAGTTGTGGGCGACTCAGTGAGTCGCAGAGAGTTGGAAAGGTTTTGACAGGTGGACCGAGTCAGGATGGGACTCACCCAGTTGGCCTTCGACTCGGCGAGTTGAGTCGCGGTGGCCCTGTGATTCAGGCCCAGGTGGAACTCGTCGAGTCGGGGGAGTACTCGACGAGTCAAAGGGAAAATTCTTGAGAGTTGGTAAAAACACGTAGACTCGCCGAGTCACTATTGTGCACTCGCCGAGTCTAGTCCAAATTGACTAAAGACTGTTGACCAGGTCAACCTGTGTTGACTTGATTTGGATGGTCCACCTTAGTGGTGCAAGTAATATTTATAGATTTATAATATCGTAGGAGGATTGCAGCTCGAGGGTTCGAGCCCGAGTGATTCTAGGATTTACGATTAGCAACTTAGCGAGGCATACGAGGTGAGTCTTCTCACTATACTGTACCCGGAAGGGTTTGACTATGTGACCGGAAGGTCGAATATGATATGGAATATATGCTTTATGTGTGTTAAGTTAATTGCTATATGTGTCATGTATGATATGTTTGATATGGGCCGGAAGGCGTGGTCATATGGACCGTAAAGGTTGATGTGGGTAGGACCGAAAGGTTTACCCAGACGGGACGGAAGTCCCCTGAGACACATGGACCGGAAGGTCAAGGCCTGGAAAGGCGTATGTGCGTATGTTGTATTTTGGGAACTCACTAAGCTCTATGCTTACAGTTGTTGCTTTATGTGTTTCAGGTACGAGTGAGGACCGTGGGAAGGCGCCAGCGTGACCGTACACACACTCGGGGAATTATTTTATCTTTTGTTATGTAATCGTTTGAGACTACGACGTTATTTTGGGAATCTAAACTAATTACTCATGTCTTGATGGTTGTAAAAATGAAAATTTTTGGTTGGAAATTTTATGACGTTACACATTCAAATGTTAAACAAAAATAAAACATTGCTAACATGGGTTATACATTCCTATAAAACTAACAAATAATCATACAACTCTTTTTCTTACTGGAAAGGAATGTCAAACATGATTACAAGTCTCCCTTAATCTTGATTACTCACCTGCTTAAGTAGAATGTTGTTGTTGAGAAGGTTACCTAGCAACAGAGAAAAACACAACACCTCTCCCACAATCACAACATCATTTACAGAGAAAGGTTGTCAATTACTTTCATTAAGACTTTCATTCAATCACAAAAATATTAAATAAAAGGGTGAAACATTAACTTACTTGTGATAAGTTGATCTCCCTTAGAGCAAACACAGCTAAAGCATTGAACACAGAGAAAGGTTGTCAATTGCTGATCTTTTCAATTTTAGTCCCAACTCATTTTACTTGGAACGAAGAGTAAAAACGTTACAAAAACCTCAAATAACGATCAAATTTGCAAGAGAATTTTGTAGGACCCAAATTGAACAAAATCAGCGATACTCGAGGACCAAAAATGTAATTTTTGCAAAAATAAGTGAGAGAAAGCACCTCAATTTCCTTTACTTCAAATTCTTGGGTGTGTGACAAACAAGAGTTACCATAAGTTTCTGAGGCCAAACTTGACCCATTCAATCTGGGGAAAAAAAATATGCAAATTGCCAAATTACCATATTATCCCTCAAAAAGAAAAATAGGAATGATGCAAGTGCAACACTCTTACAAGTCACTATCGAGATACAATGCAAAATGATTTCCCCCACCAAGCGCTAAATACTCAGTTGAACAAAGAGTAAAATACTGATTCACCCCTAATAAATGCACAATTAACATAATAAATCCCAAATAAATATTAAAATTATAAAAGATTTTTTTATATATTATCAAGAAAATGCAGTACCTATGGGGCGATATATAACAGGACGCCCTGGTGTATTTGTAAACACAAATGTATCATTCGATCCCTGTATAGTATTTACTCATCATAGTGAAAAAGGGTAGAAAAGTCTTTTGTCAACATATAGAGAAACGAAGACAAGACATTACCAGTAGACTTAAGCCAGGGCAAAGATTGCTTCTTCTATATAAGGTTGAAAGAGATATGCCATGCCTCCATGTACTAACATATAAAAAAGATAATGATATATCAAGATTCAAGAATAATGTGAAACTGAAAATATGATGAAGATGAAATTTTACCTGTATAGTAAGACCCATTTCTTTCCTTGACTGAGAACAGGGAGTGCAACATAAAGATCAGAACGTGTATTTTCTGTCATAAGTTGTGAAGGTTCTGACATTTTTGGAAGTTTATCAGAAGGAAAATCTGAGAACAAGAGCCTCAACAAGTGCTCCAGTTCCACCAACAGGGTATTCTAAACTACAACCTGGTTTATACCATTCTGCAAACATATAAATCTGCAAATATGTGGATATATATACAGGCAAAAGATTAGACATTTAGAGAACTATAAAATATGAAGGAATAGAATGGATTCTGTTTGGTTGGAATGGAATGGATGAGGACATGTGGTAATGGAATAGCCCATTCGATTCCTTCCTCAATTCCATCATACCAAAAAGTAAAACTACCTTAAAAGAAACTTTTTAATGTATGATATGATTATGTACCATTTCTGCTGAAAGAACACCATCGGATTTCACTCCAGCAAGTAAGAAAGACAAAAGATCCACCCAATTTCTAATGAAAGGATATTTGAGTCCCAAGGAATCAACTATTTCTAAAAAAGGGCGTAAAAGCTTTGTAGCACCAAGAACACCTTGAGGTCCCATTTTTGCAAATGATTTTAGGAGTGGATATGCATATCTAACTCCAGCAGTAGAAACAACTCCCAAATCACCTCGAATAGATAAAGGTGGCAAAGCCATGGCAGCTGCGTATTGTACTGTGGGGTATTCCTTCTTGATTTTAGATTTCACTTGGATCCATGATCTTCTTGCATATATATACATGACCATAAATTATGATATGACTTTAAAGTTGAAAAATGATATCAACTTTAAAAAGGTTAAATGCAAGAAAACTTATTTACAGATTATATAGAAACACTTATTTCTATCATTACTCATGATTTTGTTATTTTTCAAAACAAAATAATAACTTTCAAATCATACATCCAAACACCCCCATTAGCATTAAACCAATTCATAATCGTTTATCTACTAAAATAATTATAGTCAACATATTTATTCAAACAAGGAACCAAAAAGACCTTACCCTCGATAACAAGCCCATAGTAAAGCATAAAAATCAAGTTGTTCCATGGAGAAGATGTCACTTGTTCAAGCAACACCTACAAATATACAGATCAAATCGCGAATTAGGTGTCATATAATTCAGTTGTAAGATTGTAAATTTCCATTGTTATCCTTATTATCAAAGGTTCTTAGGATACCTTTTTGGCAACTGTTGTCGTGTCTTTTTTGCCCTTGAACAACTTATCCAACAATAAGTGGTAGAAATGCCCAAATGGTCCAAGATATGCACACCCAAAAAGCTACAAACACTCCCGCATTAATATTCTATACTGATTCTTATATATATATATATATATATATATATATATATATATATATATATATATATATATATATATTTGACTGGTGCTTTTTCATTTGTTGTAGAGAGAATAAGTTATGTGACTTTCATATCCTGATATTTTATATGTGACACCCCGACCTTACGGATACTGTCATTTATTCTTAGTATTCTTTAATTCATTAGGAATGGTGAAAAGTTTAACAGCAGAACATGGTAACCTGCTATCTGGTAACACCAATGGTTCCTAAGTGCAAATCAAGAAAATAAAGCAACAAATATCGCAGGTTTCTCTCCCTCCTTGAAATTGAGCACAAGTCTAAAACAAAAGAAATATGATGAAATTGAACACAGGGCCTAAATTCTTTGAGAAATTTTCAGAATTCAATGAAGAACCATACATGTTCAACAGAAAAATCATAAATCAAAACCTATATATTATCAAAAAATCGGACCTGATGAGAAGAGGAAAAAGGAAGAAGCGTACCTGATGAGAAGGGGAAGGAGACTTCAAAAAATTGGAACAGATGAGAAGAGGATCGTCGACGATTGGTTGTTGCGGGAGAAGAAAATTGGCGTTGAAGTAGGAGAAGAAACGATGGAGTCGCTGATTTCTTCCTTTGGTAGGGCAAGGGTATAAATGGAAACCCTTCTCCCTTTCTTCCTCCTTTCTCATCAGTCGATTTTTTCCATCTTACCTGATTAGATTAAGCTTTCCGAGTCAGATACACAAATTTAGTTCATCAAACGTCTTTATCTGACCGGGTCATCAAAAAAAGTCGTTGATGTCTGAGATTCGATACCTTGAACCAAGAAATCCCTAAATCTCTATGAGATAGGAGCGCCGACACCTCGATCGATTTTGTTGAGAAGCATCGAGCATAACACTAAATCTTTTGGGAGTCGCAGTCGCATGCCAGGAGAAGTGAATGTGATGTTGCAGTGGTCTGTTAGAGATAGACAGAAAGGAGGGACATGGATGGAGGAAAAGGGTGGCCTGGTGGTTCTAGGGTTTTTATACAAATGGTGGTGTTAGTAACCAACGATGGTGATTGACCATGGAGTTTCGAGACCTTGACTTTAATGGAGCTATTGTTCTACTTGATATGGAAATCACTCTAAATTTGTAGTTGTAATACAGCTCTTCTATTGATTGAGAGGCTAAGAAAGTACTTGAGGAACTGAAGATAGAGGGAAGTAGATGAAGGGTTTTCGAACTGAAACTGTAGTTCCAACAATAGTCATGGTTCCAAAAACTGTACCCCTTTGATCAATTTCATGGCCTGGTGACCAAAAAACCTTCGATTTCACTAAGAACCGGAACCCTAGTTCCAACAATAGTCGATTTTTGGTATTTGATTGAGAGATAGAGAGAGAGAGAGAGAGAAGAACGATTGAAAGAAGGTAGAGGAGAGCTTGGCGGGGTTTTTAATTTTTTCAGAATTTCATTTCCCCCTTTCCCCCACTATTAAAGGATGGAACGCGCGTTCCATTAAAAAATATAAAGTGACATCCTTAGACGACGCGCATTTTATTATAGGTGCCCTCCATGTTTTTTTAGACACTAATTTAAGGGCGCGCAATAATGTGTGTCTTCTATCCTAATTTTTTTTGAAGAGATGACATTTTTCTAATGTCACTCTCCTTTGCGTAACATAGATCAATGAGCGTCGTATTTTGCGCGTCGTCAAAGGCCTTTTTTCTTGTAGTGTCAGGTGCTAAAACCAAGTCTAAATAGTAAATGGAGGCCAAACTCTTCACTTTGGAGAGTTTTAGTGTGTGTGCGGCCACCTTATGAAGGTGTGCGGCTGCACTCCTTTAAAGGATGAAGAACACGAAGAACATGAAGAGTTTTAGGCTTAGATTTAGGTGTTTTACCTGAATAACAAGCTAGATGATGGAGTTCTTCACGTTTTTGAGGCCCTTAGAGTGTTCTTGGATGAGATTTTTAGAGAGAGAAAGTAGAGAGAGAAAGTAGTGTGCAGCTAAAAGAAGAAAAAGTGAATGAAAGGGGGTTCTCTCCTATATATAGAGTCAGGTGTGTGGCTGGGGGTGTGTGTGCAGCTGGCTGGCCGCAGACTCGGGTGTATAGAGCACTCATATGGACCCACAATTTTGTTAAAAGATGATAATCTCAAGTATAATATTAATATACAAATCAATTACACAGGATAAAAGTTTCAGGTTGTCACATCATCCCCACGTTAGGGGAATTTCGTCTCAAAATTCAAGAATGTGGATACAAATCATGGATTTGGAAAAATATGAGGGTACTTATGTTTCATTGAATCCTCACACTCCGAAATGAATTCAAGTCCTCGCTTGGCATTCCCGCGAACTTTCACTATCGGGATGCGACTTTGCTTTGTTCGTTTCACCTCCCGGTCCATGATTTCGATGGGTTCTTCCACGAAGTTGACATTTTCGTTGATTTTAATTTCATCAAGATGGACCATAAGGGTTTCTTCAGATAGGAATTTCTTGAGGTTTAAAATGTGGAAGACATGGTGAATGTTTCTAAGTTACTGCGGTAAACAAAGTTTGTAAGCTACGGGACCAATCCTAGCAAGGATTTCGAATGGTCCTATGTACCTCGGGTTTAACTTTCTGCGTTTTCCAAAGCGTATCATGCATTTTTAGGGTGAGACTTTCAGAAGAACACGGTCTCCGACCTGCAATTCCAAGGGTTTTTGTTGTTTATCGGCATAGCTCTTTTGTCGATCTTGTGAAGCCTTTAGTCATTCCCGAATTTGTATGATCTTTTTTCAGTGGTTTCGTGGACGATTTCTGGACCAGTGAGAGTGCTATCAGGGACTTTCCCCTTCACTAGCTGTGTGTCGCCCACCTCAGCCCAGCACAGAGGGGATCTGCACTTGCAGCCATAGAGGGCTTCAAAAGGCGCAACCGTGATGCTGGTATGATAACTATTATTGTGGGAGAATTCAACCAAGGGAAAATGGGTGTCCCACGATTTACCAAAGTCGATGACACATGCTCTCAACATATCTTCCAAGGTTTGGATCGTTTTATCACTCTGCCCATCTGTCTGAGGATGATAAGCTATACTCATATGCAGCTTAGTTCCACGCGCTTTCTGTAGGGATTGCCAAAATCTCGAAGTGAACCTGCTATCTCGATTGGAAATAATAAATATAGGTACTCCGTGCAGTCAGACTATATCCTGAATGTAGATTCGTGTGAGCCTTTCCATCTTGAATGCTTCTTTGATTGGTAGGATGTGAGCGGATTTCTTCAATTGATCGAGTATTACCCAGATGGTGTCGTACCCACTCGGAGATTTGGGTAATTTGGTAATGAAATCCATGGTAATCCTCTCCCACTTCCACTCAGGTATTTTTGGCTGATGAAGTAGGCTTGAGGGCTTCTGATATTCGACCTTCACCTTGGCACAAGTCAGATACTTCCCACGAAGGTAGCGATTACTGCTTTCATGTTTGGCCACCGATATAACTTCTTGAGATCAAGGTACATCATCTCCAAACCTGGGTGAATGGAATATCTAGTTTTGTGGGCTTCGTTCATGACGACTCCTCTATAACCACTGAACTTTGGGGTCCAGATCCGATCCCTGAAATAGTAGACTCCGTCTCCCTTGATCTCTAAGTTCTTTTCCATTCCTCTCAAAGCTTCCTCCACCACATTCTCTGGTTTTAGGGCTTTCAACTAAACCTCTATAATTTGTGCGGATAAATGGGAATGGATGGTCATGGTAAGTGCTTTCACACTGCAACCCGAGTACTCTTTTCACCTGAGGGCATCAGCTACCACATTAGCATTGCCAGAATGGTAGCGTATTTCACACTCACAATCAAAGAGTAATTCTACCCATCGCCTTTGCCTCATGTTTAAGTCTTTCTGGTCGATGATGTGTTCCAGGATCTTATGGTTAGTGAAGATCGTGCACTTGGTTCTGTAGAGGTAATGTCTCCAAATCTTCAATGCGAAGACCGCTGCTACCAACTCCAGGTCGTAAGTTGTATAATTGATTTTGTGTGCTTTCAGCTGCGTTGATGCATAAGCAATAACATTTCCCAACTGCGTAAGCACACACAACCTAATACCTGGTTGGATGCATCGCAGTAGACAACGAAGTCCTCTGTCCCTTCGGGCAGAGATAGGATAGGTGTGATGCAACAAGGATCACTTTAATTTTTGGAATGTAGTGTCTTGCTTTTCACTCCAACAAAAGGGGACACCTTTCCGAGTCAGTGTGGTTAGGGTTTTGGCAATTATGGAGAAATTCTGGATAAACCTGCGATAATAGCTAGCGAGACCCAAGAATTGACGAATTTTCGTGGGTGTCTTCGGTACTGACCAATTCTCTATCGCTTTAATTTTGGATGGGTCCACGTGTATGCCTTCCTCACTTGCCACATGAACCAAGAAAGTTACTTTTCAAATCCATAATTCACATTTGGAGAATTTTGCGTATAGCCTTTCCGTCCTTAGAGTTTCCAACAGTAACTTCAAATATTGTTTGTGATCTTCCTCACTTCTGGAATAGAAACGTATATCGTCTATGAACACAATAACAAACTTATCCAAGAAAGGATGACACACGCGGTTCATCAGGTCCATGAACACTGTCGGTGTGTTGGTTAGACCAAAGGGCATTACTACGAATTTGTAGTGGCCATATTGAGTCTGGAATGCTGTTTTAGGAACATCACCCTCGTGGCTCCTTAAAGTTGGTCGAAAAGGTCATTAATCCGAGGAAGAGGGTAATGGTTTTTGATGGTATACTTGTTCAGATCTCGGTAGTTAATGCATATCCAAAAAGATCCATCCTTATTTTTCACAAATAAAATAGGGGCTCCCCAGGGTGAGGAACTCGGCCTGATGAATCCTTTGCTGAGCAGCTCAGTGAGCTGGCTGGATAACTCTTGCATTTCTTTTGGCGCTAGGCGATATGGGGACTTAGCTACGGGGGTAGCACCAGGGATTAAGTCGATGCGAAACTCGACTTGGCGCTCAGGAGGAATTCCCGGGGATCTCTTTGGGAAAGACATCAGGAATGTTGCAGACTTTGGGGATGCTCTCGAGGTCTTTAACCTCATGTCTCTCATTTACAGCATGGGCTAGGAATGCACGACACTCCTTTTGCAGAAGTTTTTGGGCTTTGATGCACGAAATAATTCGGAGGTTTGAACTGAGTTTATCACCATAGATTATGAGTGATTCTCCAGAGGGAAGATTGAGGCATATAGCTTTTTCCGAAACAAAGGATATCAGCACGATTGGTGCTCAACTAATCCATGCCAATGATGACATCGAAGCCTTTTATGGAAACTGGCATGAGGTCGATTGGAAAGGAATTATCATTTAGAGTAAGGGTACAACCACATAATATATCGTTAGTGCTCTCTTTCTCACCATTAGCCATTTCGATGGTAAATGTTTGGTTAAAGATGGAGGTTCATGTTTGAGAAGATGCTTGAATGCATGACTGACAAAACTTCTCTCCGCACTAGAATCGAAAAGAATGCATGCATAAGAGTTGTCAAGTAGGAACGTACCCATGACAACGATGGGATCGGCGACTGCCTCCTCTTGCCCCATTGTTAGAACTCTCCCGGTGTTGCCAGTTGTTGCTGCCTTGGGGCAATTTCTCTTGTAGTGCCCGACCTCACCACAACCATAGCAGAGCTGACCGAC